TGGGAGGGCCCTCCAAGCTTGGGGGCTCGATGCTAAGTGAGCTGGGGGTGGTCTCAGCCCCATGCAGGGGAACCACTAGATCAGAAGGACCCTGGTGAACAGGTATCCCCAGAGGCCAGCGTGGGATGACCCCTGAATATGTGTCCCACTGGGCTAATGAGGACAGGGGGGGACATCTAGATCTGGACCAGAGGCCTTGTTTTGTGGTGTGACAGGAGTGTTCTGGAGGGGCAGAGTCTGTGTGTGTGTGGGGGGGGGTACAGGAGAAATTGGCATGGCGTTTGTCAGTGTATTTTGGTCATTTTCTACCTCTGGGATGACAAGTGTGTGTGGTCCCCACAGGGGGACCCCCGATCGCCTCTGGGAACTGCATTCTTGTTTTTAGCCGCTCAGGAGGCTGGCAGGGGAGGGCTCCCACCTTCTGGGCCCCACCCCGAGTTGGGGAATTCTGTGCAACTCCAAATCCTCCCCTGGGGGCCCCGCGGGCGGGTGGCTCTGCCCCCTCCTGCCCCAACCTGCCAGATCCTGTAGCCGGGCCAGCCTGCCCCTTGGGCCCCACAGGGAAGAAAGACCCGCTGAGCCCCCCGGGGCCGGGCCCCACGGGATGGACTGGAGGCAGGTAGGTGGCTAGGCGTGGCTCCCACCTCCCTCTCCCCAGTCCCGCCAAGACCCAAGGCAGGATCGGAACTGATGAAATGGGGGACCCTGGAGGAATTCTGGGGTGCAAGGTGACACAGAGGCGTCCAACCAGTCGCTCCAGTCCTATGTCTGGGCTTGCTGTTGGGTACCCCCACCCCGCCCCCAGAGTTACTCAGAAGGGGAGGCTGCTCTCTTACTACCTAGCAGGTGAGTGGCGACAAATCAGACCCCCCCCCAGCCCCAGTGATATAACTTCAGAGATGTCACTGCCGGTGGGAGTGGGAAAAATCGTCCCCCCCCCAAGCAATGCCCACATGGGACCGGGAAGGGTCTGGCAGGCTGCAGCCCCCCAGGGCAAGGAGGTGGTGGTCCAGGGCAGTGGCTGGGGGTGGATCAGCCTCGGCCCTGCCCTGGAGAGGGCAAAGTGGCAGCAGACATGCCCAAGGAGGCCGGCTTGGCCGCAGAGGGCACCCCGCCCCTCCTGTGCTGAGTTTTGTTCCTGGCCCCCCACCTGGGCACCAGGCCAGGCCCCGAGGCAGGGCCCGGTCCCGGGGAACAATGCAGCCGTGTTCCTCTTGGTAGAGGGGAGGCTGGAGGATGAGGAGGGAGAGACACGCACACAGAGGAGGAGGGAGGGCCTCTCTCCTAGGAATACTCCGGAGGAGCGGTGGAGTTTCCCAGCGGTCCGGGGCGGCTGGGGGAGCCTGCCGGGAAGCCTGGGGAGGAGGGGGGGATCCAGACCCAGGGACCACCTGGCCTGGAATCCGAAAGCCTATTCTATGGCAGCAGCAGAGAGTTGGGTGGGATAAAAGGAGGGACTTCCTAGGGCTGGAGAAGGTGCTGTGGGGCAGGACCCAAGTGCGGACTGCCGGTGGGCGGGATCCCAGAATACCCGAAGCCTGCCCAGGGGGGGTCCACAGTGGCAACGTGCCCTGGGTCTGGGCCCGGGCCGTCCGCGAACAGCCTCTCCCTCCATGGCCGTCCTCCTGCCCAAGGCCTCCAGAGCTGCCCGTTCCCGCGCGGGGCAGGGCCGAGGCCGCGAGGGGCCGCAGAGGTGGGCAGGGCAGGGGTCGCACCCCCCGCGCCCACCCTGCCGCGCGGGCAGAGTCTGGGCTTGCAAGTCAGGCCCGGGGCCCAAGTTCACCGGCCGGAGAGGGAAGTTGGTTGGGGTAGGTTTGGGGCCCAGGCAGGCCCGGGGCCCGGAGGGAGAAAGTTGGGCCCGAGTCGGGTTCGGGACGGAGTTGGGGGACAGGCGCGGGAAAGTGGGGGCGGGCCGGCTCCGGGGGCACATGACGGCGGCGCCCGCCCCGCCCCGCGCCCGCCCCCTGCCCGGCCCGGGGACGGGGGAGGAGGCGGGGAAGGTTTTAAAAGCGGCCGGGCCCCGCGGCGGGCCGGCCAGAGCGTGGGGTGGAGCGCGGCCGGTGTCGGGCCGCCGCCCGCCTGCGTCTGCGCCGGCCGGCGGCGGCCGAGCCCGGCGCGGCTCCCTCCCCCGCGGTAAGTCCGGGCGGGCCGGAGCGGCGGCGCCGCGGCGGCGACAACTTTTCCGCGCCGGGCTCGTGGGCGGGGTGGGGGTGCGCCCGGCGGGTCCCCCAGCCCTTCGCGAGGGGGAGGGCCCCGCCCCGCGCCCCGCGCCCCGCCGCCGGGACTGGGCGGGCGGGGGGCGGCGGGAGGACGGGGACAGCGCGAGTGACCGCGGCGGCCGCGGAGTCCCGGGGCGCCCCTACGAGGGGGAAGGCGGCCCGGCTCGTGTCCCTCCGCGCGGCCCGCCGCGGCCCGCACCCAGGCCCCCCGGGAGGCTCGGGCGGGTCCCGGGGCCACGGGGGCAGGTGAGGAGGGCAGCGGCTTGGCCGCAGGGGGCAAGGGCATGGCACGCCTGGGGCTCGGGGCTGGAGGTTTGGGGTGGGGGCATGGATATGCACGTGTGTGCCCCCACCTGGCCTTTGGACCGGAAGGATGGGTGGGGGTCTCAGAGTTCTTTGGATGGGGGTGTGGGACCCTGGGACCCTGGTTCAAGTTCCTGACATGCCACCCAGCGAGTGGGGCAGAGGCCTCCTATGGGGAGGGCCTGGCGGGACTTGGGGGCTGTCTCCCTGCCCCCGTCCCGGCCCGGCAGGGAAGGGCTCATTCAAGGTTGCACAGGAAGGGGGGGCAGGTCTGGGACCTGCCTGGTGGGGCTCGGGGTCCCGTGCCCTTGGGCAGCAGGAGGAGGTGAAAGGGCCCAGGCCAGAGAGAACCCTGACTCCTCTGTCCCAGCCCCAGTCTGACATCTCATTTGAGCACTGGATTTGACAGCCACCAAAGCCCCCAGCCCTAAGTGACCTTCCTGCCCAACCCAGCCGGGCTCCAGACCGACAGCCTTGGACGTGCTCCCTGTCACCTGCCCCCCGCGCATTCCCCACCCAGCCGCCAGCCCAGGAAGCGAGGTGTGTTCGGGTGAGGCTGGGGTCTGTCGGACCCCTGACAGGACAGCGTCCTCTGGCTGTCCTGCCCGTGCCAGCCTGAGCCAGAGGGGCCGTACCCGACAGGTGCCCGGGCTTAGAGGCGAGGTGATGTTGGACACACCCTGTCCGCTCGCCCACGCACGCTGCCTGGACCAGCCTGGGCACATGTGTGCACATGCCACTGTCCTGGGAAGGGGCCTGGTGCCAGCTCTGTTCTGGCATCCAGGGGGGCATCTCTTGCCTCCGCCCCAGCAGGATGTCCTAGGAGCACCCTCTCGACCCCAACCAGCAGGCCTTGCCTGTGGGCCTAGAGGGGACCCTAAAATAGCCGCCGGCCTGGCCCAGGGCTGGCACGAGGAGCACATGCGTGACAGGGCGTGTCCAGGGGGGTCAGGCCTGTCTGTGCTGGCCCGGCCCTGGAGCAGCCTTTTACTCACCGCAGACCCTTGGTCGCCGGAGAAAGACAGCAGAGGCGGATGCTCCAGGAGGGACCCCCGTGCCGTGCCCACCCCTGCCGGGTGCAGGCGGAGGCCAGATGTCCTGTGCAGGCCGCAGCTGCGGGCCGGCTCCCGCCCATCTGCACTCCCAGGGTAACCGGCCCCCGGGGCGCACCTGATCAGGGGTGGCCTGTTCGCCCTGAACCAGGTGGCGCTTTGATACATCTTGGGGCATTTTTCAGTTTGCCCTTCACCTTGGGAGGCTGGCTGGGGAGGCTGGCTGGGGAGTCCGTCCTCTCTGAATAATGCCAGGGGAGCCCTGCGCGGTCTGGAGAAAACTCCTTCCTGCCCCCTTCCCCCCCGCACTTTGGATGCGGTTTATGCCTGGATCAGGCCTGGCGTGTTTTGGACTTAACTTTGTGACCTCAGGCCGGGCTCTGGATCTCTGGGCCTCAGTTACCCCATCTGTAAATGGGGAGCATTCGGAAATGGCGCGGAGAGCAGTACGCTTCCCTCCTCCGTCCCAGGCCCCGACTTCAGATCCCCTTTGGGGCGCCCTGGCCTCTTTCCCTCCTGCTGTTGGGTGGGTGTCCTGGGTGAACACAGAGGTGTGTCTGGGGAAGACCCTGTCCCCAAGGCCGGTCACCTGGGGAGGGTGTGCGGGAGGCAGGGGCGTGGGTGTGTGAGAATCCTGGGCAGAGAAGGACGCCGCCATGCTGGGCACGGCTGAGTCACGCTCCAGCGGCGCCTTGCCCCAGGGTGCTGGAGCTGGCGCCACCCTGGGTGTGGTCACTGAGCTATGGCCCTGGGCAGAGCAGGGCTGGGTGGGCTGGGATGCGGGGCTCGCTGGCGAGGCCCTGGGAGCCTGTGTCTGGGACGCCGAGCTCCTGGGAGCCCCCTCCCCGGCCCAGCTCTGAGGCGGCCATGCAGGACGGTGGGCGCCCGCACCCTCAGAATGCCTTGGGGAGCTCGAGAACCCCGACCCTTGGGTCTGGGAATTGTTGGGGTGTCAATGGGGGTGGCTAGTGACGACCTTCAAGGCCAGCGGGCCCCCAGAGCTAGGCCAGCGCTGAGGAGCGGACATGGCCGTGGGTCTACCTCCCAGTTTCGGGATCCCAGCGTGGATGTCCGGGGCCCCTGGGAATTCTGTGACCGGTTTGGGAGGGACTAAGGTCTAAGGAGGGGTTAGAGTGCGGACCGGCTGGGCACAGTGGGGGCTGGGATGTGACTTTCGTGGTTCCCCTATTTATAACAAGTGATTCAGCCCTCACTTACTCACCCCTTCCTGAGCCTCCCCGCCCCCCCCAACCCTGGGTGGGCATAAGTGCCCACCCTTTTGCCAGTGTCCCGGTCTTCCCCGCCCTGCTGCCAGCCTCTGAGGGCTGCCCAGGGGGGCGGCTGTTGTTGTCCCGGTGTGCGGGGACTGGGGCAAAGGGGCGGGGGGCTGGCGGTCAGTCGGGGCTTGGCTGGGCAGCCCAGGTTGGCGGCTGGCTCCAGGCCCAGCCCAGGGAGCTTCTGCTGAGAGTCTGGGCCCATTAGGCAAAGCGTTAGTGACAGGCTGGGAGGGCGGGTGGCGGCGGGCAGGGCGGGGCCTGCAGCCCTTGGTATTTTCCGATCCCAGCTGCTCTGTGAGGGTGGAAAGTATTTGGGGACCAGGCTTGGGGGCGGAGGTGGCGGTGGCGCCCCCAGCGGAAGCCGCCCCTGATTCATCCTTGGAGCATGGGACTTGGGGGGGGTACGTGGGCCTGTGTGTGTCTGCTGCGTGTGCACACGCGTGCTCGCTGTCTGTGGCGTGTACTCAGGCGCGGGCACACGCGTTGCCTGACCCGGGTGTCCTGGTGCAGCCTGGGGCCTGCTTCGCCCCCCCCTCCCCAGCCCGGGCCCACCCTCACCCCACGCCCCCAGCCGCTAGGAGCTTGGTCCTCCCTGGACGCCACCTCCCGTGAGCCCAGGAGGCTCCCCATGACTGGTCGAGGGGGCCCAGCTCGCGGGCACCTGCGTGGCAGCACCCCTTCCACTTGAGCCCCAGACCTTCTGTGCCTGCGGGGTGGGGAGTGGCCTTGGCCCCGGCCCTGGGCTCTGAGCAGGGGAAACCCCACAGGAAACGGGCCTGGCCAAATGGCCGCCCTTCCCGTTCTCGTCCCTGGGACACGAATGTGCTGTCTCACTTCCGGAGGCGGCCTGGGGAGGCTGGCCGCCCCGCGGGGCGCCGGCTGCTCCCGGTCGGTGCCCTCAGACCCTGAGGGGACAGGGCTGTGGCTGGGGCCCGATGGGAGAGGTTGGCCGCCGTGTGTGTGTGTGTGTGTGTGTGTGTGTGTGTGTGCACGCTTGTGTGTGTGGCAGGGGCTGACAAAGCAAGACATCTATCACCTCCTGTCTCCCAGTGGTGGGCGCCACCAGATCGGATGCTGAGGTCCTACCGGTGTGAGGTGTCCTTGTTTCTGTTGTCCTGCCTGGCTCTGCCCGGCACCGACTGCGTCATCCCTGTCGTGAACCGGGTATCACTCATGGCACCCTCACCACGACTGACGGAGCACATACTTATTATTCCAGTTTTGCAGACGGGGAAACTGAGGCTCAGAGAGGTTAACCAACTTGCCTAGAGTCACCCAGCTAGGAAGTGGCAGAGCTGGGGGTTTCAGATCCCCCAGAAATCTGGGACTGGCTCCAGAATTGGGGTCTCTTAGCCGCCGGGCTCTTATCCTAGGAGGCTGCATTGACTGCCGCCGGAGCCACCTCACGGACCCCCTGCTTGGAAGGGACCTGGGGCTCGGTGTAATGACGTTCTGTTGTGAAATTCTTAGTTAACGAACAGGGCGCCCACGTCTTCATTTTGCGCCGGGCCGACCTGAAAATTCCCAGGCCTGCTCTGGCGCCAGGCATTTGCCGAGTGGCACACAAGTTCTCGGTGACATCTCACCAGGCTATGTGGGAGAGGCTCTTGGCTCCGTTTTACAGATGGGGAAACTGAGGCTTAGAGGGTGTTTGGGAAAGTGCAGAGCGGGGCTTGGAACTTCAGGCCGTTTGGATGGAGAGGGCTGCATCTTCGAGCGCGGGCTCTGTGCTCTGGGGGCGGAGGGGGAGATCGGGGTACCTGCCGTTGGTATCCGCCCTGGTGGGGTGCGGGCCCTCGAGTCCTGGCCACCAAGGAGATGGGGCTACGCGAGGGGAGGCCCTGGTGGTTTCCTCCTGCCCTTCAGGCTTCTAGGAAGTGGCGCCAGCTGGGGTGAGATCACTTCCTCACCCGCCTGCCCGCCCCCCTCGGCTTCCTCTCCCTATGGCCCCGTTTGGCCTGCCCAGGGCTGGGGGGGGGCGAGAGGGGGGGACTTGGCTTTGGAAGTTCCTGCAGCCTCCTTGGCCTACAAGGGCCCTGTGGGCATCTCTGTCTCTCCGGGGCTGGGACCCGGGGCACAGCCAGGGTCTAGCTCCGCCTGCGGCTGTGCTGCTTCCGCGGAGGGAAGGAGGGAAGCAGCTGAGGACCTGGACAGGAGATGTCCCCAAGTCTCCTTACCTCCTTCACTCTCTCTCTCCCCTCCAGGTGCCAGCCTCTGGCCCCGCCCGATGTCCCCTCACCCCTGTGCCATGGCCGGCTGGGGTTCCTGGGGATGGGATTTGCTACCTATCACAAATCACATTGCCAGGGATTTCCAACCGACCCTGAGCTCTGGCGCCGAGGATGCTGCCTGCCCCGGGGACAGGGCGGCAGAGAGGCCCCCAAGCCCGTGTGCCTGGCCTGAGGAGCAGGGCTTAGCTGCTTGTGAGCAGGGTCCACGCCAAATCATGTTCACAGTGGCTAAGTTCCGCCCCCCGGGCCCCCACCTCCTCGGGCCGTGCCGCCTGGTCCCCGCTGCCACTGCCTGTCCCGCTGTCCTGCTGCCCGGCCTCCCTGGGCTCTGCCTCCCGTGCCTACTGAGCTGAAACACAGTTGGTTTGTGCAGACTGGCTCAGTTCAGCAGGAACAGGAGTCAAGCCCCCTTGGAGCCCGCAGCCCCTGCCCTCCCTGGCCGGGCCGATGCCGGGAGGGAAGACGAGGACGCAGACCCTGACCTGCGTGGGGAGGGCGCGAGGGGTGGGGGTGGGCCTGGCTGGGCCCCGCTGTCTGCTGCAGGCCCCCTCCCTTAACTCTGAACTTGAGGACCCCACTCCACGGCCACACTTCAGCCTGGACTGTGGCCCCAGCGTGGACAGGTAGGTGGGTAGGTGGGTAGACAGCCCTTCCATAAAAAAGGAAGCTAGCTGTGTTCCCTCCGGGCCTGGAGCCTCAGCCCCTCCTCTCCCAAGCCTGGCAGGGGACATGGCCCTGCCCTGCACCTTCCCAGCAGCCAGTTACCCAAGAGGAAGCTGCCCTGGGCCCCCCTGACCGTTAAATGCCAACTCTGGGCTTCCGGAATCAGGCTGGGCTGAGCTGACCTGGCCCCATCTCCCCGGGCCCTGCAGCTTCCTAACTTGGGGGGAGGAGCGGTGACACCTGCCCCACACGTGGGGCAGGGAACAAGGTCCATGTGGGCCCAGACAGGGACACAGGCAGGCCTGCTCAGTCCTGGGGCCCTGGGGATCAGCCGATCCTCTCCTCCTCGGGTGGTCTCAGGACAGGGAGGAATTAAGACTGTGCTATCTCAGTCGCATGGGATGAGGGCTCTTTTCTGGGCGAGACTGAGGAGGCACAGTGAAGCCCCCCAGGTCTCCGGGGCCAGCCCACTGTCCCCTTTCCCCACCCTGGGCAGGGGCGGATAGGAGCTCGAGGTGGGAGGGAGAGGCAGTTTGTGCTGTGTGTCATGCCTGTGGTCCGATTAAATAAAAGTTGCCCTGGCTTCATTCCTGAAGGTCTGGTCTGTGATTCACTCCTGCCTCTCGTCCGTGGAGTCTCAGCTTTTGCTTGGCCTGTCCTGGCACCCCAGGCTCCTGACTCCACCGCCGTCCCGTCCCCGCCCCACTGAGGAAAGTGGCAGCTTAGTGGCAGGGACCCAGAGTGTTCCCTGTGACCCTAGAGGGACTGACTTTCAGTGATGTGACGGGGAGAGCTGGTGACCGAGAGAGCTGTTCTGGGAAGGACATAGACGGGGGTCACCCTGATGGAAACACTCAGCCTGAAGGGTGACATTTGGAAACAACTGGGACCTGAGGGTTTCGAGCCAGTGACGTTTGTGTGTGTGTGTGGGGGGCAACTGGGACCTAACAGACAGCTCAGGCCTGGGAGGAAGATTTGGGGTGCCTGCTATCTGACAGTGCTAGAGGGTAACTTGGGCTTGAGGTGACACGAGGGAAACCCCAGGCCGGAGGGGGGACATTGGGGTGTGGCTGGGACCTGCGAGGCGCCCCAGGTTGGTGGGGACGTTTGTGGGCAACTGACAGCTGAGGGGCACAGCACAGGGGTGGGGGGGCCCAGGCCTGAAGACATTTGGAGGTGGCAGGGACCACAGGGGCTGCCCTCGAGGTTTGCCACCCTCCCACCGTCCCAGGACTCCAGCGGCAGCGGGGAACGCACCCACCAGCCCGGGGGCCGCCCGCACATACCTGCGGGAACACGCGCGGCGGGGCAGGAGGTGGGGCCGCCTCCCATTGGTCCCCTCGAGTGGAGGGCGGGGCCGCGAGCCAATCGCCGGGCCCAGCGCCGCGGAAGCCCCGCCCACGACTCCGAGCGGCGCCGCGGCTCCCTCTAGCGGCCGGCGCCGGCACTCCGGGGAGCCCCTGTCCTCACCTGCCCCGGCCCTGACGGTGACCCAGACAGTCCGTCCGTCCGTCCGTCCGTCTCGAAAGGCAGGACGGCCCCGAGGGAGCTGATTCTCGGGGAGCCAGGGAAGTGTAGACGAGTAAGCTGCTCCCCGCCGTCCCGCAGACCCCACATCGCATTTGGGGACTGGGAGCCTCTTCCCTGGGGTTGCGATCCCAGACACGCCTGGCCACGCCCCTCGCCGTCCGGACACGCCCACCCCGCCTGTCCGGTCTCGGCCGTGGCCCCGCCCACCGAGGCCGAGCTGAGCCCGGCGTTACCGATTTTGGTCGGGGTGTCTCCCCTACCCGGCTGCACCCAGCACCCGCCACCGCCTCCCGCGCGCAGCAGTTTGGAGACAAGCAACCCCCCCAGTATTGGTGTCCGGAGCCAGGGCACCCCCTAGCGGCCATTCGCAGCCGTGCACGGGCCGTGCGGCTTGGGGTGCCTTGGGGTGCGGCTGGGGCCGGCAGGCTCCGTGGCCCCAGCGAGGCGCCGCTGAATGGATCCTGTCTCTTTCAACTTTGCAGCCTCAGTTTTCTCGTCTGTAAAATGGACACGATAATCCTACAGACTCAAGGCTGTTGTGACGACTGAATGACAGAAATGAGGCTGCAGACTTTTTTATGATTAAGAAACGGGGTGACCCTGGCCCGAAGTGGTAAGGGGGGGAAACGAACCTCTGTCTCAAAATTAAAAAAAAAAAAAAAGAGCTGTGTTCGATCTTTAAAAAAAGAAAAGAGAAAAAAAAACACAGATATACAATATGTGGTTCAATAAATAGAAAAAAAGTTACAAAATGACGTGATCGTTTGTCCTTAATACACAAGAGGGGGGAAGGTGCCGGGGAGGTGACTGGGGAGTGGGACGCCCTCCCTGCTCCTCCCCTCTGGGCCAAGGCAGGGGAGGGGAAGGGTGGCCAGAGAGAGGCAGCATCTGGGACAGGGAGAGTGACGTGGAGAAATATGGACACAGTAAGACGAATGGCTGAAGCAGGGAGACAGGAGGGGAAAGGGGCAGACAAGACAGCCAGAAAATGCCAAGAACCAGGTCTCTTTCCTTCCAGATCAGGGGCGGGGTCCCTGGCTCTCTCGGGCCTGTGTCCCCCACACCAGGCTGGGAGGGGCAGTGTGTGAGCCTGGCTCGGTTCCTGAGTTGCATGTCCAGTGACTAGCGGGTGGGGCAAGGGGCAGTGATGGCCACCCCCCCAGCCCACCCTGGGACCCTGGTGCCCAAGGGAACGGGGTGGGGAGCGGACGTCCTGGCCAGACACGGGGGGAGGGGGGTGAGGTATGTGGCTGAGGCCTGAAGCCTCCTCAAATCCTTCAGTGGGGTGAGACACCGGTCCTGGCTGGGCAGCTGCCCGGGAGGCTGCAGACTAGGGACCCTGAGCAGTGGGGCGGGGGGAGGGCACGGGGGGCTCAGATGCCCTAATGCAAGTGCCCTGGCCACCAGGGCTGGGGTTCGGGGAGGGTCTGCTACATCGACTTAGTGGGCCAGTTTCTGGGAAGTCCTGCCCCCCCTGCCGCCTCCTGGAGCCCAAGCCAGTGAGTTTGGAGAGGGGGAGCTTGCCTATTGCTTTTGGGGGTGCCCCAGGCCGGGTGCTACCTGCTGCCCGAGCACACACCCCCTTCCAGGCTCCTGGGTGGTGGTATGGCTTCTGCTCCTACAGTCTCGCACACTCGCTCGCACACCCCTAGGCACGCACGTGGCCGTGGCAGGACGCCACCCCCCTGCCTCCCATCTCCAGCCGGGCCTCCTTCCCTGACTTAATACTGAAATGCCACATGGGCCTCCAGTGCCGAGGCCCCCCCTGGGGAGCGGGGGGGACAAGGGGGCGGGGGAGACGGGCCCCCACTCCCCGCGCCCTGCCGCCCCTCACCCGAAGCGCTCGCGCACCAGAAGCATGAGCTTCTTCTTGCCCTTGTAGGTCTGTTTGAGGTTCTCCAAGAACTGGGCGAACTGAAGGTGGCCGTCGGGCGCCAAGAGGAAGGTCTCCCGGGCCTTGCCCAGGAACTCGATGAAGTCGCCGTAGTGCCGCGGGCTGATGTGCGTGAGGCGGGAGTGGCTGGTGGTGATGTAGGCGGCCACCGCGGCGTCCAGGAGCTGGCACAGCGGGGCCCGGTCGGCGCCCAGCGGCTTGGCGGCCCTGCGCGCGCCCAGGGGGCCCAGGCCGGGCGCCGAGAGGGTCCAGCGGCGCAGGATGTCGGAGAGCATCGGGGCGCAGTGGACGCTGCGCACGATCAGGGGCACGATGGCCGAGAGCTCGTGCCGGCCCAGCGAGTGGCTGAGCGAGCAGGCCCACAGCACGTCGTTGACGGCCGGGTGGCTGTCCTGGTTGAAGGCGATGCTGAGCTGCGCCAAGGCCAGCGTGGCCAGCTTGTAGGCGCGCAGCGGCAGGCCGCGGTGCTCCATGTAGCGCGCCACCGTGAAGAGGTGAGCGTGGCCCAGGCCGCCGGCCGCGGCGTCCAGCACGATCTGGTAGGCCGCCTCGAAGGCCGCGTGGTTCTTCTCGCAAAGGGTCAGGGCGGGCAAGGCGCAGTTCTGAGGGTCCTTCATGGCGCACTGCAGGGCCAGCGTGCGCGCGCAGGCCCAGAGCTCCTCCCGCCGCGCCGTGTCCAGCTGCAGCCGCAGCAGCGTGGCATGCGTCGTGCCCGTCACTGCCACGATGGTGGCCGCCTCCACCGGCGTGAACAGGGAGTACCAGTTTTGCATGATGTTCATCAGGGCTTGTGGGCCTGGGGGGGGCGACGGGGGAACCGTTCAGGAGGGCCGGGCGGGCGTGTGCCCGGATTTGCCCCACACCGCCCACGGATCCTCCCACCCCCATCGCAACCAGGCTGGACAGAGACTCTGTTTTCCTTTCTTTCTTCTTCTTCTTTTTTTTTTTGAGACAGAGTCTCGCTCTGTTGCCCAGGCTAGAGTGAGTGCATGGCGTCAGCCTCCCTCACAGCAACTCAGACTCCCTGGGCCTCAAGCAAATCCTCCTGCCTCAGCTCCCGAGTAGCTGGGACTACAGGCATGCACGCACCATGCCGGCTCATTTTATCTATATATTATAGTTGGCAATTAATTCTTTTATTTATAGTAGAGACGGGGTCCCGCTCCTTGCTCAGGCTGGTTTTGAACTCCTGACCTTGAGCACCGCCGCCTTCTGCCCAGAGTGCTGGGATTACAGGTGTGAGCCACTGCGCCTGGCCTCTCTTTTCTTTTTGCTTTTTTTTTTTTTTTTTGAGACATGATCTTGTTTTGTCACTTGGGCTAGAATGCAGTGGCATCAGCGTAGCTCACTGCAACTTCAAACTCCTGGGCTCAAGTGATCCTCCTGCATTAGCCTACCAAGTAGCTAGGACTACAGGCATGCAATGCCACACCGGGCTCATTTCTCTAGTTTTTGTAGAGATGGGGTCTCGTTCTTTTTTTTTTTTGAGACAGAGTCTCACTCTGTTCCCCTGGCTAGAGTGAGTGCCATAGCATCAGCCTAGCTCACAGCAGCCTCCAACTCCTGGGCTCAAGCGATCCTCCTGCCTCAGCCTCCCAAGTAGCTGGGACCACAGGCATGCGCCACCATGCCCAGCTCATTTTCTCGCTCTTGCTCAGGCTGGTTTTGAACTCCTGACCTTGAGCGATCCACCCGCCTCGGGTGCTAGATTACAGTTGTGAGCCACCTCGCCCGGCTGGGATCTCGCTCTTGCTCAGGCTGGTCTAGAACTCCTAATCTGAAGCGATCCTCCTGCCTCAGCCTCCCAGAGTGCTAGCATTACAGGCGTGAGCCACCCCGCCTGGCCTGGACAGAGAGTTTGTTTCACTTTTCCAAGAAATCAGAGGGGAGCAGCTGGACTAGTTGGGAGTTGGGGTGGGACACTGATGTGACCCCCCCACCACATCAGCCTGGCCACCCTCTGGGCCTTTGTTCAATGCCTCCCAGCCTAGCCCTGAGCACAGGATGGAGTGAGGGGAAACTCCATGCTGCTCCTTCTTGCCTGCCTGGTTCCCTGGGTGGCAGGTGCAGAACCACAGTGGGGAGGTGGGTGGCCCGTCCCCCAGGGCTCTCACCGATCTCCGTGGCACAGCTGACCAGCCAGCGCACCATCTCCCTCCGCCGCCGCCAGG